ATTTTTTTTAGTAATTCTTGATTTATCAGATAATAATTTCATTTTAGGATCACCTCTTATAACTTATAAGAATATCTGTTCTGTACGAGGCAGCTAGACCTTAGGACGGCTAGTTGTGCACCGCACTAGAATGCCGTTATACCTTAAGCCTGTTTAAAACGCTAATTATCGAAGCGGGAATGGGTCACTTGAGGAATGACGGCTAACTGTACATCCAATAAGTAAACGAGAGTAGACAATAATTTAAAACAAATAACCACATATACAGAGTGATGAAAATCTGGTAAGACACTTATTTTCTCAGAAACTATTGAGAATTTAAAATTTTTGTAAAAAGAAAAATTGTTAACTTTATAAAACTCTACAATAATATGAAGTTAAATAATTTTTTTTTATCCCTTCAGGAATAAAAATGTTCATTTATAATTTTTTTAAATGGGAACCACCATTTTTGATTTGATAATATGATAGAAAAAAAAAATTACAAACAATTTTGTTCTTATAATTTTTTTTAACCGAATAACCGTTTTATAATTGTTTAAAGATGTTGACTTCCAGAAAAAATATTGTCATTTATTACATTTCATAATATCGGTGGCAGTGCAACCGGTATTTTTGTTAGACTTTTGGTCTTACAAAACCATAAACTCAGCTATTAATAATACACCGAAAACCCGGTTTGAATCTATTATTGTTATCACTCATTTAGTGTGTAGTAAATTTTTATAGCTAATTTACCTATCATAACTAGATGGTTTATGCAATAACAAATAAAAATAATGACGTCAGTATTTAATACAGTAAAATGACAATAGAAATTTGGCCTAAAATCACTTAACTTTAACAAGCTGTAACGGACGAATGGTTATTCGGACAAAAAAAATGATAAGAACAAAATTGTTTGTAATTTTTTTTTCTATCATATTATAAATTTAATAATAAGGGTTCCCATTTAAGAAAATTATAAATAAGGGTTTTTATCCCTGAAGGAACGAAAAAAATGATGATTTGACTACATATTATTGTAGAGTATTTTGAACTTGATATTTTTTCTCTATAAAAAAATTTAAAATTCTCAATATTTTCTGAGTGTCTTACCAGATTTCAATCACTCTGTATAAGAAATTCTTCAGAGAGTGTCTTCAGAGGGGTAACGGGGGCCCTTAAATACTTAGCGAAGCGGCATAAAACAAAATAGTTAATCATAATTAAAACAAACAATAAATAATATTAAAAATAATATTAAACTCATCTGAATAGATGAAGTTGTTGATAGTGATGAGTGGACTGTATGAGATCTTGTGGTGATGGTGTCAAACATCTGAGTATGACGAGTCAGAGTGTAAATCCAGACACGTAATGGCAGATGAGAACAGACTACGGCAATGAAGATATTTAGTGATGGTCAGGGCCCAATCACTAGTGGCGTGCAAGATCATGAAAACTGAGCACAAGGGTGCAATAAACAAATAAAAGAATAACGGCGTACAACGGCTGAACAATTTACTATTCAAGCGAAGGCACTTGCAACAGAAAAAAAGTGACACAAAAAACAAATTTATTGACTGACTTACGACAATGAAATGTACACGGATGAAAACCGACACGGAGGTCATCGATTTGCTGTGAGGGGTGGACAAGGGGGTGAGTAAAACAAGACGCTGGAGATCAGCTGTCACACGATATAATATAATCAACGATGTTTGTAACAACTGGTTTATTAGATCTTTGCTAAAGACGTTCTGTACCAAACAATATCAATTTTACTTTTTTAAATGATAACATACAAATTCAACTATGTTATTATATACGTAGTATAGCATTATTGTTACAATATACAATTTAAGAATTTAATTAATAAATCACATGATATGACATATATATCAATATAACAAAAAGCTACATATATATACTTTTTAATTTTTTAAAAATATATTAATGTAATTTTGTATAAAAAACATAATTATATAAAAGAAACAGGAAAAATTAAATAATGTGTAATAGTAATGTGTTAGACATAAGTTAATAAATAATGTGTAAGATTTTATAGAATAAACAGTAGAACATAATAAAATATAGATAATTTTGGCGATAATGTAATAAATAACATATAATAAATTAAAATTAATAAAGATATAATGGAAGCGTCGGTGATCACTTCTTGCCTTTGAATATACGATCAAAATTAATATAAAAAGCCCAAAATAATAAGCAATCTGTCACAGATGTCACTCTAATAGTGGTCACAATGCTCTCACTCGCTTAGATGCGGTCAGTTATTCATAGAGGCTCTCAGCACGTTCAATTGCGATCAACCAATTTATACTCTGTTTTTCTACCGAAGTATATGCGAGAAGTGATTCGCCGTGTCTCCATTATTATTGCATGAGAAAACAACATCTATTTAAATAGTCATAATTTTGTTGAGATTTGTTCAATTTACGGGGAGGGGGGTGGTAAATTTTTTAAATTTTCGAGAGCAATGTCTTTAACAAAATTCTATTTGTAATTTTTTGACATATTGTTCATTAAAATCGGTCCAGTATAAGCTGAGAATAGTTGGCGACAGACACAAAAAAAACATATCATAGTAAAATTAATTTCTTCTCAGTTTTGCATCGAAGCTACAAAATCTTGAATATATTAAAAATGAGTACAGGAACAGCGATGAATTGCGAAAAAAATTTTTAGTTGGGACACTATCTAATATTTCCCTATCAATGAAGAATCGTCTATCTGCCCTTTTATAAGATAATGTATAAGGCTATTATACCTGTATAAATAAAATTACGCTTCTTCACTCTTTTTGGCACATTTGAGGCTGTCCAGAAATGAAGGGCACAATAATATTTAAAACCTTTATATAAAAATAGAGATAATGTCTATTTATCGTGACAACATTAGGTGATAGTAAAAATAAATAAAAACTTGTTCCTGTGTAAAATATTAATAAATCATCTAAGACAATGTTCACCACTTAGGATGATACATATAAAAAAAACTAAGTTACAAGGACAAAATATTTACTTATACTGACGCAGATTTCATGTAAGAGAATATTTAGAGGGTAGTCGTCGCAGTCGCAGTCCCAGACGTAGTCCCTTTTTACGAAAAAAAATGGCTTTTTATACGCCGGATAAGGTAAGCCAGCGATCTCTATTGAAATTCCTAAGATGTTGGATAATTATTTGTGATTGGTTAATTGTGATAGAAACCCTGCCATGGGCGTAGTTAATGAATTGTAGGTGACTGGTTTGAAACATGTGTTGATAAATAGTTATTTTTATTACCCTAAAGGGGAACATTCCTTAGATGATTTTTTGCTTTATTCATATATATGTGATATTTAGTACATGTGTTAATAATTATACTACTGTAATAGATATTTAGCACTTATAATTTTATTTTATTTATATTTTTATAATAATGATTTTTTTTAATAAACCGCATTATAATGGGAGATGATAGATATAAAAACACCAATACATGTATTAACGCAAATTAGTAGAACAATAGATTGCGCATAGGTCTCTCTAAATTAATTAACTAGCCAATGAGAAGCATTGTGCAATTAAAATAATTCTCCCCCTCATAAAACTGGCATATAAAAGAGCAATTTCTAGTTCATTCCAGATTCATTTTTTTTTCTAAAAAAACGGTTAAAACTGTTGGTAAAACAAAAGTTTATAACGTGTCACTAGGGATTGATTCTCATATTCTGTCATGCTCTTTTCGGCAAGTAGTTCTAGACTATGTAAGGTCCGTGCTTCGACGAGTATATCTCCGATGGTGTAGCCAGCTTGTCTCTAACTCTGTCGACTCTCATATCAAACACATAATTCTATAAATACTGATAGTTTATTGAAGTCATTACCCTAGCACATCAAGCGGTTGAAATTATTGGTAAAACAATAGTTTGTGACGTGTCACTAGGGATTGGTTCTCATAATCTATCTGGTTCTATAAATTATTACTTAAAAATATAAAAGAACATATATGTTTTAATACCAAGTATAGAAAGGAATTTGAGTGAAGTAACATCTCAAGTTTAACAATTTTAATAAGACCATAAAATAAATAAGTTAATTAAAAGTCAGTGTTTATATTCTTTTTACAACAAAAAAAAAAAGTCGTTCAATGGACTATTATAATGCTGATTCTCTTTTTAAGAACACCGATTTTAACTAGGCTTTTTATATCTTAAGTTTGGCTTTATCATTCACTGCTTTGATTTTATTTGCAACATCACCGACTAACGATTTGAGAGCAAAAAGATTGGCGAAAATAGAAATCAAGGGTAACTCTCCGCTAAATTTTGGTATTTTTAAAGTGCAAAAAGTAGTAGGTTTTCGAGCCGAGTATTTGAATTTTTTTTAGCAGCTGCGATTTAGTGGAATTAGTTTATACATTTTTATTAAAATTAATGCTTTTATTATAAAATAATAGTTTTTATTACAAAAAACTAATTTTTGGGCTTTTAGAATGTTTGAAATTATTTTTTCGAACAATCATTTCAGAAACGTTAGGATGGGGCTTTGGCGCTAAGTTTTCCAAAAGTTAAATATAATATGTTTAACTAGCTTAAAAATAAGAAAACAATCGGGCTTCAATTACTTTTGAACCAATTTTTGGAAGTTATTTATGCTTTACTATAAAAGTTGAAAGTCTAGCACGGGTCTGTTTGTTTTTATTTCCATGCATTAAGAATTGCACAACCCCCATATACTCCTTAGTATATAATATATTTAATACTGGAACAAGTATATTTACACAAAAATTAATTTTTAGAGCGATAAAAATGTAATTTAGTCTAAAAATTTGACTATCATACGTCTAGGTCATAGTATTTAATGATTATCTAAGTTTAAAGTTTTGATTTTAGTCTCTATATTAGGCAAAATAAATTATATTACACCGTTTTGATTTACCTAAAATATAGGCTAAAACGTTTCTACATAAGAAACGTTGATGTGTTAATCAAAGAATAAATAAATATACTATTATTCTTATTAAAACATATATTTAATTTATTTTTGGATATTTAAAAATAAATATCATCAATTTCTGTAACAATGTACAAGTGAACAAAACTGTAGTTGTCTTATTTTACTTCCTACTATAATTTTGTAAGACTAAGATGTAGAGACATCGTCTTGATTTTTCGCTTGTTCTTCTTCATGATCTTTTTTCGTTTCATCATCCTCGACCTAAAAATATTAATTTTTAAATTATCTATTTATTTATTAAATCAAATATTATGTTTGAAAATGAACACTGTAAAAAGACAAATGCTTTTCAATACTGCACATTATTTTTTTAATAATAATAATTTAATTTTCTATTCAATTTTTAATAATTGAATAAAAAGTGAGCTTAAATTCAATCTTGAATTTCAATTTAATGTAACGTGCTTTCCCGCTAAAGTCCAACGACTGCCTATGCTTATCCTAAATAGGCCTACGTTGACCCTATATAATTTATATCCCACTTGAAGGGCTGTTAGCAGTTTCTTAATCAATAAAAGGTAAACTATCATATACATTAGGGTGGTCCTTAGTTATAGAAGAAAAATTTTTTTTTAAGAAATTCAGAGTCATGGGCTCAAAATTTCGGTAGGTTTACTGAAAAAATGAAACTGATAAAATTTGAGTGCAATAAGTCAACCCCTTCACGTGCCTCAAAGGGGTTGAAGTTCTTCAAAAATGGGGTGGATTTTCTTTTTTTGAGTGTACGCTCTTTATTTTTGAAGTTTCGACAAAAACACGAAGAACAATTTTTATAGAACTCAATTTGAACAAAATATAAGGTAATATATTATTTTTTTGTAAGATTAATATTTTTTCGTAAAAATAAGAAAAATCAGTTTCATTTAATTTTTTAAAAAAAATTACAGTATTCAGTTATACTTTTCCAGTGTCTTAAATTTTAATTGTACGCAGAAATTGTACAGAAGTAATATTAATCACCGTGATATCTTCTATAAAAAAAGTTCTTTGAGTTTTTTTCGAATTATGAATCCTTTCCAAATAAAAATTTAAAACAACTACGAAAGAGTGTTTTTTTTTTTTTAATTTTTTTTGCATGTATGTTTTTTTGTTCATAAATTAACAAGTTTTCTTAGTTATATTAAATAAAAAAAAAAACAAGAAACACAATAAAATAATAATTCTAATAGATGACTGTTTAATATTTTNAAAAAAAAACAAGAAACACAATAAAATAATAATTCTAATAGATGAGTGTTTAATATTTTGGAGAAAGTCGCGTATTCCTACACAGTTTTCTTCAGGCTGTGTTATTAAATTAAAAAAATTGTATGAGAAATGGAGAAAGTTGGACAAAAATAAATCTAGAAAAACAAAAACACAAGAACAACATTATAATATTTTTTCTGAAGAATTAGACAACCTCTTTGACATTTCTCATATCGAAGCTCTGAATATGATGAGTATTGAAGAAGACAAACAGTTTTTATTGTCACAACTTAAAAATGGCCGCCCAGGGTGCATCCTTGGTATTGATATGAAGTTAACAGGTAATAAAAAACGTAAAATTACTCGACAAGAAAAAGATGATCAAAAGAAAAAAGAGAAGTTAGAAATCGCAAATTGTACAAGGAATTATTAAATATTACACAATAATTTCAGTACATTATAAGTAAGCAGTTTTTATATACCGAAGTATTTTATTATTTAGCCGAAACTCAATATTATAGCAGCTCTAGCTCCGAGGACGAAGATATTGATACAGAGGAAAACGTTGAAGAAATGAGTCAATTACCTGGGCCTTCAAAAGAAGTAAATGCACTAGATGATATATGTTGTTTTATAGTTGAATGTTATATTAAAATGTGATTTTTAGCTGCGAATATTGTAGCAGCACCTATAAATGATTTAATGTTATTAAAAAAGTTATTAAATTACAGTAATAATAAACTAGGAGAAGTAGCTATAAAAAAATTTATAAACCATTTATGATATTTAAATGATGAGTGTGCTGTGTTTTCTTTATTTGACGATCGACTAGACATTAATACTAAACAGCGAATGGCAAAAAAAATATTAAAAGGTTATGAACAGAGCACGAATGAAGAGCCAGAAGAAAATGAAGATTCAAATATAAAATTAATTTTAAATATAAAGATTTATCAGATTTTCTAGAAAAAGATGTTCCTTTTTCGTTGCACAGCAACAATTCATGAAAATTATTCCAGCGATTTAAATTAAAATTCAAGTTTATATACAGAGTGATTTTTTTATCATAACCCACTCAATTACTTGCAGAATAATAATAATTTAAACATTTTTTTTTTTTATTATCTTTAGTTACACATTATTCTTGAATTTTTAACTATGTAATACTTTTTAAGTTCATCCCTTATGCCTTGGAAGGGGGTCAACTTTGTTTTTTTAAATGGTAACACATATTTTTAATTTAATAAAATGTTTGAGTTTTTAATTTAATAGTAAATGGCATTTGAATTTTTAATATAACTTTATTAGCTTATTAGATATAAACATTTAAAGTTTCAAAATGTTGAGTTAATATACATGTATAATACACATGGGATTGTAAATACAGGTAGCTAATTGGATTTTTATGACATTGCTATCTTAGTCACGGATTGTTTATTATCAATTATGATTATCAATAGATATACTTTCTGTATTGTTAGTTAGTGTATTTATAAACTCATAACACTGTGCCTTACTACAATTGATAATAACAATCCTGTGTACCTACTAATATCGATGTTATAAAAAACCAATTAGCTACCTATATTTGTAATCCCTTGTGTATTATACC